GAAACTTTATTGTGTCCTTTCCTCTAGGCTCAAGTAGACACACAATCAGACTTCTCGTGTGTGATTGCAGCTGGCCTTCCCTGACCGCCGTCTTGCTCATTGCTGCCTTCTGTTGTTCACAGTTTCACTGGTAGAGTTAAATCTTTACCTGTTTTTGTCAACGAGGGACAAGTTCCAAAATATGTTTGACCTTATGTGACTTTTGTTCCCGTAGAGAACATTATGTGTACCCTTCAAAAAAAATGTCAGATGGCAAGAACCACAAGCTACGTTGAGACTTTGTTATATCTTATTTTCTAACAATGTCCTCTAAGTCCCTAGAGAGAAGAATAGGTATCTGTTTGTTCCTCTAAATTTTTAAGTCAAAGCACTATTTTATGTGAGGCCCTTTATATATTGGCAATATGAGTGATGCAAAGAAGTCCTAGAATAACCAAGTATACCTCAAGGCACGGGCTATGTAGCAGTAAAAGGAGGAGAAATGTGCAGTTCTGAATTTCTATTGCATGCAAAATACTTTGCTAGATCCTTTACATATGTTTTAACATTAAGTCTCATTAGAATTTAAGTTCTATACTGCTAAGATGTGTTTCTAGTACCCAGTAAGATGTCTGGCACAATCATTGGATGTAGATCTGTTAATCTCATTTTACAGATGGGAAAACTAAGGTTTATAAGTTTAGTGACGTGCTTAAATTCAAGTTCCTGGAAGGCATAAAGCCAAGCCTAGCTTTGGGTATGACTAAATTGGAAGTGTAATCTTTCATTATGTCACCTAATGGCAAAACCCAGAAAAACTTTGTTTTTGAAAATATTTGTGGAATGCACAATTAAAAATCACTACTGATTTGATATTTAATAGCCTGCAAACCTATCTTGAGTAGTATCTGCAGCTGAAAATTTATGCAAAAATGCTACAATCTTGTTTTACATATGTCAATAATTCTTTTACTAATTATTCATTAGCCCCTGAGATGTGTCAAACATATGAGTCATTGCAGACATAGAACTAAATAAAACAGTGTTTTATCCTTATGGAGCTCTCAATTTTGTTTCCTTTCTCTTTTTTATATGTCTAACAAGGGCATGAAAATTATTCTTAATGTAATCAATCTAAAAGTTTAAATCACTTTGAATTAATTAAGAGGATCTGTACAACTAATTTAATTTTTGCCGAAATTTGTATAGTGACAATTTATAAAAAGTAAAATTACTGTCCCAAAGAGTAAAAATGAATTGTGTCACCTAAATATTAAATGGGCTAAAAAACTTCTATTAAAGTACCCAGGGGCTGTCTGGAAAGCATCCAGTCATTGTTAATATAATATGTTCATATTACATAGCTGGATGCACTCTGGACAGCCCTCCCTCCCCCGTGTGTGTGTGTGTGTGTGTGTGTGTGTGTGTGTGTGTGTGTGTGTGTGTACGGTTGCTGGGTGGGGTGAATAGGTCCACCTAGATGCCCTATCAGCCACTATTTGCTCTAAATGCAGGTGAACTCTCTTGCTTTTGAGCAAAACTCGTTGACAGTTTTTACTTAAAAAGTGACTCAATAATTAATGCATGGTTTCATTTGCCTTCAACTGACAATATAATAATTAAAGTATACTGGCAATGTGTACTAATTATACAACTTCTATTTTGGGTATTATTACTTTTTAAGAATGTATTTTACATGTTAACATCTTTTTTTTATTTCCTTCTAGTATATCTGCTCTTGAAAATAGAAGCATTTGCTGTTACACCCTCACCATTAATATTCAGTTAGGATGCTAGTATGTCACAATTCATATTAAATGATGGAAGAAAGGGAAAAAAAAAAAACACATTTATCCCAAATCACTGCAAATGTAATTTCCAAAAATCTTTCTGAATAACACTTATATAATATTTCACCGAAGATCTGGTACATAGTAAATACATGGCCCATGTGCAACCTATTTAACCTTCTCCCACTTTAGAGTGAGCATGAATTTTACTTTTCTGACACCCTTGTTTGCACCATTTATTAGCTGTGTGATCTTGGGTAGTTCAGTCAGCATCTCTGAAGGTACATTCCTCATCTGTTTCTATGGATTATTATCTGCCTTAGTGATGTCAGGCGGTTGTTTTGAAAATTGAAGAAAATGATACTTGTAAAAATATTTCATAAATTTAGCATCTCATATAGATAGATGTTATTTTGCCTGTAACTCTGAGAAGAAGAAATTGATATAGTATAAAGATTACAATTCTAAGAGGCATCTTGTTAGCCATGAAATCATCACCAATTTTTAAACTCCTGATCTTGAGTTCCTGTGCTCTGGGCACTGCCTGTCTCTCTAGTCTTACCCTGTGTCATTCTTTCTTTCCCTTTCCATCTACCTCACTGAGCTGCAGTTAGTGTGGACTTGCTTCGGTTCCACTAAGATACTAAGATATTTCCTGCCTTGGGGCCTTTGCGCATATTTTATTTGGTTGGAAGACTGTTTACCTACTGTTCCCATTCATGGAGACAGAGAGTAGAATGGTGGTTACTAGAGGATGGGAAGTATAGTGGGAATGGGAGGATAAAGCAGGGATGATTAATGGGTATAAAAATATAGATAGATCAGTAGATAGAATGAGAAATATTTGATAATGCAACAAGGTGACTATAGTCAACAATAAGTTAGATTATGCTTTAAAATAACAAAAAGAATGGAACTGGAATATTCCTAACACAAAGAAATGTTAAATGTTTGAGGTGATGGACACCCAAATTACCCTCACTTAGTTAAGATACATTGTATCCCTGTATCAAAACATCACAGGTGCCCTATAAAGATATACATTATATCTTTATTATGCAATCATAATAATTTAAAAAATAATAATCATAAGATTTTAAAAATAAAATAAATGTAAACTCTTAAAAAATTATCTCTGCACTACATACAAGTGCATGCTACTTCTTTTAATTCTACAATCTTTGTGCAGTATTGGAGTAAATATAATTTGTCCCGCTTTTACCTAAAAGAAAGCTCAGCGTGGTTGACTCACTTTCTAAGGTGAGCAGATCCAATTAGTGGCAGAAGTGTGAATCAAGCTCAGAGAAATGAGAAATGATGCTGGAATCTCTGCTCTCCTATAGATTGACTCCCAATTGAGCCATGTGCCTATAAAGTGAAACTGGCTCTTCAGAATTTTGTTAGTGCTATACCTCAACAAATGCTTCTTTTCTTCTTTTTTTCTACCATGAAAAATGTGAGGATTAAATGAGATAACACACACTGTCTGCTGTCTAGCAGAATGTCTGGCTCTATGAAGATTGACAACCAATGGTAGTTCTTCTTCCCCTCACTTCTCCACCATTGTTATTTCTGTTTTTAAAAAGAACTGTGATTCTTTTCTATCTTCATTTTCCAGTAACAATAAGCCCAGTGTCTTCTATACCTCAGGTATTTAGGGTTATTCATTCCTTTCTACACAGCAGTACTTTCCACTTACATTATGTTATTTTCTTCTTCTAGGACATAAAATAAAAGACTAATCTGGTAACACAATCCTAATATTAAAATGTCAATTATTTTGAATTCTAATTGGCTAACTATATTAATATATTCCTTTGCACACATAATCTACTGAAAACACACTAAGGTGCCTTCTGCATGCAAATACATAAAAACACAAGCAGAGTCTTAAAATGTACTTGTGTGATTATTGTTGTCCTTTTGCACATCTTCATCACCACAAGACTGTCATGGGAAACTGTTGTTCCTTTAGCCTGGGCTCTAGAAAGAGCATGCATGGAATAGATCTGATCCCAACCCATAGCGCAAAGCCAATCCTAGCTTAAGTATCCTCATCTTGAAGCAAAATTTGTCTTGACAAACACAGCCAAGAGCCACACATGGGTAAGCAAGAATATATGTTTATATTACGCTGATGGGTTTTCAGTGATTCTTAACCCATCAATAGTTGACCTTCAAATACACACACACACACACACACACACACACACACACACACACACACGTCACTGTCCTGGCAAGACTTAACAGTGAATAGCCTTAGATAATTAGGGAGAAAAGCTGCAATGCTATTGTGTCAGGATGCTAGATTCAGGACTTTCAATATGATCTAAAACAAGATAGTTTTAGGAAACTATGTCTCAGGATTATTTCAGTTTTAAGCTACAGAGAGTCTAAAACAATCTGCTTTAACAAATAATGGTACACAAGACAGAACAGCTTAGAAGCACCTCTAGCTCCCAACAGAACCTGATCAATGGCTCAAAAATGCCAATCAAATTCATCTTACAGCTCTGTTTCCTCTGATTACATCTAATCCTCAGATCTAATAATGATCCCTTAGAGTTCCCGAGTTTTTGCTAGGAATGCAGCAGTTTTAAATCTCACAAACTTGAATCACCAACTCTAGTAGAGAAGTGAGAGTCTTATCCCAATATTCCCAGCAAAAGTCTTAGGATTCGACCTAATTAGATAGACTGACTCACATGCCCAGGACTCTAAACTTTGAACTGTGACCAAGGAGTAACATTGCTAACTGGCTTAATCCTAAAGCTAAGTCCTGAAGCCTCATGTGTGATTAATCGTACTTTAATCATCTGGGCAGAAAACAGGAGGTATCTGCTACAATGCATCTATTATCCTTACCACTTAGACTCTCTATAATATGAAAAGAAAAATAATCTGTCAAAATTTATGACTGCCTTCTGCCAAAAAGTGGCACTAAGAGGAAAGAGGAATTGATTGAGATCACTATTGGTTTGCGCAGGGCCAAGCGTTTTCTACTTCGAACAAGATTTACAGCACTTTGCAAACACTTGGAGGTAATTGAAGACCACAACGCAGACTTTTCAGGGAGCCCAGACTGTTATTTTGACCATTATTCCCATTTGAAAAGATAAAATGGCCACGCCACCCTAGAGACTGCCAAGCTAGAGCTGAATTGTTTTCTGGGATGATTTACACGAGGATAACAATCAGTCAGCTTAACAACATGACACTGCTACTCACCGAAGTCCTGCCAAGAGCTGAGCGTGCTCTTCCTGTGGGTGCTGTGGGAGCTACAGAAACGTGAAAAGAAAGAGTGAAGCACATTAAATAAACTGCCTGAGAACAATTATTTCTAAAAATAGAAAAATTAAGTCAGATTTATGCTATTGAACAAATATTATGCATATGAAAATTGTATAAACACCAATATATATAATAAATGGATACTTAGTGACCCCCTACAATATGCTGGATTCAGTACATCATTAAACCTCTATATCATTAAATCCTCATAACAATTGCATTATTGTTTTCATTTTCCAAAAGCAACTAGTTAAGCCATGTGGCCAGTAAGTGGTAGAAACAAGATTGAATCTCTATTATTTCATGCCAGTCTGAATGTCCCCATAAATTGTTATATTGCCAAGGAGACACAGAATATTACCACAGAATAAAGTAGTAAATGATGTGGAGAGAATTTAATTTCTAAAAGCTTCCAAACGTGATTTGATCTGAGTTCTAAAAACAGAGATGTATATGGTTTTAGGTGATGGGGGGAGAGGAGCCTTCATAGGCTATCTTAATCACCTGAAAGAGTCAACTTCTCAAAATTCCCTAATATTTTTATTAAAAAATCATTCACTTGGGTGTATGTTTGATATGGTGGAGTCCTGTGAATTAGTGCATAGTATTTATTTGTTGAATAAAAGTAATATTCAAAGTTGGCAAAACTATTTATTAGAACCCCATTTTTTATTATAGTTTACCTGGTATGGATAGAACTAGTTAGATTCTTAGAAATGATTTAAAGAAACTCTAATTTTTTTGGTAAAATTTAAATTTTGATGAGTTTATAAGTTGCTTGAAATAATTGAGAAACTAAAAGTATTTCACAAAATTTTGCTAAACATAGCTATTTTGTTGTTGAAATCCAAAAATAACCTATATATTTATATTTTAAGTACAAAAAAGATTTTTATTCACTGTAGAATTATAATATAAATGGATTTTTATGAAAATCCATTTTCATAAATTATGAAAAATAATTTTAAAATTATTACTTTGCATACTTGTACATTTTAACTAGATAAAATTCAATGTTGGATATCAACATATTTATTTCTCTTTCTACTGATCAAAATGTCCAAAGAGCATTCAGACCACTCTATGGGAAAGTATGGGCATGCATATTATTGATTATTTTTGTTATTGTAGGGTTTTTTGATTAGTTTGTATTTTACACAGTACTGATTAACAGGCAAACATACTACGTGTTTTCAGTGAAGATTGTTTTTAATATCTTACCACCTCCTTTTTCTCTATTTTACTGCTATGAGAATAATTTGGGGTCCTAGTTTTTCTCCTGGCTTAAAATTCAATCATTTTGTTGTTGATAATCTCAGCACTTTATACATTGCTTCCAGAGGAAGATCTTTGATACCAAGGCACAACAGCTTCTTAAAGTAATTCTGATGGACAGACTTAGTGCTATTTTTTTTTCCCCGAAAGCCCAGTTCTTGTCTTACCCATGAAATTGCTTTGCTATGCATTTTATTAGGCTCAAAGTCTTAATACTCTTTTTCCTGCTGAGAAATGAAGAGGATATAGGTCCCTGGATAAACTTATCTGCTGGGAAGGGAATATAGAAATGTAATCTTCTAACTGTCCTCATGTCATTTGGCTGTGCTCTGCACAAATACATCTGAAGACATTTATCTGACTCCAAAGCTGAGATCTTCGTGAAAGCAGGTTAGCTCTCCGCGATTCAAATAACTGGGTTTATATCCTTTAACCTAAGGGTGACTTTTGAGTATTAAACCAGACCTGTGGGTTCAAAGAGAAATGGCCTTAAAATACTTTAGATTTACTGTGAATGGCAAAGGGGTGAGCAGTACAGAGAAAGAAAAATGGATGTACAACACTTCCTGCTATAAAAAAACCTACCTTGAACTTGCTGATTGAGAAGAAATAATGCAGTACCTTGCAAATAAACCATGCTGATGGATGTCTTCTGCTAGGATGGAGATCACTGTATTTACTCTCTTTCTGTTTGATGTCAGCATCTTAGCACTCAGCATGAACTCTACTGCAGCTAACTGTCTAAATACGTTATTTCTAGTCAATAATGAATGCTTCCCTAACATGTTATTATTGAAAATAACAGGTTCCAAATGTGTGACTGTACCATATACAATTCGCTTCCTGTTCTGTAAGGATTGGATTTTCTTGCCATTAGAGCTGAATTGTGTGTCGACACTTTGCTAAAGTTCGAACATCCAAAATCCAGACCAAAGGCAAAAAGTTGTGTTGAAAGATTATAATAACACGTGCAATTGAATAGTGGCTTACAATCTGCAAAGAACTTTCAGAGTACTCTTTTTGGAATGTTTCCTCACTCTCTAAGAAAGATAATACATGTTTTTTGGTCCCATTTTAGCAAAGAGTGGCATGGGGCATTTAAGTAAGTGACTTACACAAATCAAAAAACTGACAATCGAGAACACTAAGACTCAAACCCTTGACATCTACTTCCAAATCTAGTCTTTCCATACTCTAAAGAGTAAAGTATACTTATCTGTATATTACTTGTCTACTGTACAGTAGATAAGGAGAAGCACAAAGGCCCACGATAGTGCAGTAGTAACTGAAAGCAGCGTGAGAACGTTAGTTGCTGTGCTCTTTCTATTTCATTAGGTCACACAGTAGATATAAAGTGGTGTAGACAAGATTTAAGAAAATCTCTGGCTTGTTCAAAATCACATTTCAGGGCATACATTTAAGAACCAAACTATTTTGAAAAACCTCTTTTTTCATGTTTTTTTTTTTTCATTTTCTCTTTTATCCCTAAATAGTATATTAAGTATTTATTAGAACTAAGCATGTTTAGTAGATTCTTATAGGCATATATACAAGATTCATTGTTTTAGGAGCACAGATTCATATATAATAAAAGAGTATAATATTCCTTGCCCCCTACCCTCCCCTCCCTCTTTCCCTTTCTGCCTCTTTCCCATCCTTCCTTGTTTCCTTCCATAGTTATTTATTAGTGCCCAATGTTGTTAGGGTCAGTATAACTTAAATCCTATACTCTTTATTCCTTTTCCAAATTTCCTTGTGTGATTAACAATCATGTACTATGACAGATTTAAAGTTTATCCATGGTGTTAAGCTAAGCCAGTACTTAATGCTATTATCAACACTGGTGTTAAAATAAATTTAGAGTCATTTGTTTTAAATGACTTCTAGTGGATCACTTAACTCAATTGTTGACAAATATAGTAGAGCTAATGCATAGCTCCTGAAGCTTCTTCCTGCACAATTATCTAAAAGACCTTGATATCAATCTTCTTTACTGTGTCATTTGTCAAGCAAAACGTAGTCAAGGGATCTGGAAAATTCTGCTGCTTCCAACAAATAGAAAAACAGCTAAAAAATTCTGAAGCTGTTATTCAGGTTTGGGACATCTATGTCCTCTCGAATTGCAGAATGAGTTCACCAAAAGGTAACAAATGATGGCTAGGAAGAGTAATGGTGCAGTAATAAATGGCACAGAGCTCTGAGAGAAGCTCATTTGGCAGGAAGCTTTGTGCATTGTGTCTACGCATTGTGTACCCATTAGAGAAAGCAATTTTGATGCTCTCTACCTCTCCTATTTCCTCTTATTAAATCACAACAAAGCTAAAATATATTGTGGAATTTTGTGAAAATCATGCTGTAATGCATGTAGAACAGCATTAGCTGGAGAGCTTGATAAAAATAGCAATATCTAGAACCCACCTGATGACTTTTAGCCTGTCAATTTTGATTATATTCCAGAATTTCACATATTTAATAAATAAGTCAGATGATTCTCATGCAACCGGCTTGAGGGCTGTCTTTTGAAAACCAGAGGTCTAGATGACCCAGTAAATAGCCCCTGGAAAAGTGCAGGGACACACTGGTCGTACGGTTGGGCTTCATTGCCCATAATAGGAATTCAATACTTTTAGTCTCTGAAATGGTCATTTGCTCAAACTGCTCAAATTGTAAAATATCTGTAAAACCTAGCATGTTTGAATATTGCAGCATCAATTGCAGTTTCTATATATTTAAACCTTAAATCATCTTAAGCATTCACCCTCAAACACCTTCTGATTCAAGCTTCATTAGGATTTTTGTCTTATGCTGTGGCTACTGTGATGAGCTTTATTCTAGCATGTCTGAATTAGTTTCTTAAGAGGCTACATATCATTGTGAAATGAGAAAATATGAATCAATGCAGAGGGAAAATGATTTTCTCTTCCTTTCAATGTGTAGTAATGTGCTTTCAGTATGCATGGGAGCCTGATGAATAAATTAAAAGACAATTTCCAAATTGTATATTGATTTTTATACAACATAAAATAAGGCTATGTAGTTGATGGAGACCATCATCAAGGGGCATAAATCTTAAATTAAAAAGTGAAAAATAATAAATTAAAATAAAATTTTAAAACATGGCAGCTGGTAGTAAAATATATTAGTGCTCATTTTCTCTGAAACATTAGGACATAAACTATCCTGTATTATTTAAACTATTTTTAAATAATTAGTAGCAGAGTAAGCACAAAGTCCATAAAAAGCTTTAGTCACTTCTGTAACTTAGCCTGCCACCCAATCTAAGAAATGACTATTTTGAGAGCATACAATTCATCATGTAGCATGTTCTATTTCAAAAACTCACTAGATTGCCATTGATAACAATTACCAAGTTCATGACAGGTTTTCTGTTTAGTTTTCTGTGTTAGCACCTTGCCCCAAGGGAAGGCACTCATTGGTGAAGCCATACCCACACCTGAGAGCTATGTAAAACACTTACGGCTGCATATGAAGATAACTTGATTGCTATGGGACATTCTGCCTAATACAAACTGAATACAGAAGATCTGACTACTGAGCAAGAAATAAAGATATTCTATAAACATAATCATCCACACCATCTTTTCTAAAAGATTAATATGAGAGTTTTTGCAATTAGAGCTGGCACTCGATCATTAAGCACCTAAACAGCACACTGGCCAGTGGGTGCTGGAATTGGTTAGGTTTCTATCCT